TATGGCATTAAATGGATCTGCTGGCTTCTTGCCTCAATAGTCGTGTCATTCTGATTGACGGAAAGCTAGGAGATATCCCGGTTGCGGGTCGGCCTATGGTGAGCCCGGGCTGCAGCGAGTCTTCGTATGCTTAGCTGTACGCTATGCTGCTTTGCGACGACCGTATTGCTGTGAAACTACTGTTTCTCGTGACGGATGTTCATGTCGTGCTGTACGTGATGCAGTGCCATTTCTACCACCGCCATCAGAGCATTATTGCAGTGCTAACCATGCTGCTGTACTTTTCGTATACTGAGATACGGATGGTAGTGCATATATGCCACTAAAGCGAGCCTTGATCATTGGCACATTGGTTAGATTCGGGGGCGTAGTGCTATAGAGCGGCTCTCTGAGGTTGTTAGCTAGCCACATACTCGATGTTTACTATTCGACCTGAGCGCTGCAATACGACAGCCAATATGTGCAACCATATCCCCCCAACGTTAAAGACGTAACGTAGAGTGCTTCTAAAGCCTGCTGTGGAAGTGTCGCGGAAGCATTGATCGACGGAAGTTGGTCACCCGCTCTGAAACCTGGAAATGAAGCTGCACAAACGATATCAGCCACCGAGGAGACGAATATTGATTTCTCCCAGATGCACCCCAATAATCTTCCAGGCATGTTCCTTGAAATCGATGGTATTGTCTGGGCGCAGTCATAAACGAGATGGCGTGGGATTGCCTCGTAGAGCACATCTTTTATTTGAGAGTGCGGTAATCTTACTGGACACACGATATGTTGTGAACAGACGGTGTAATTCGATGAAAGTTCCGAGAAATTCGCTATGATAGTAGATGAAGTCATTGACTTGACAGTTCTGAAGGTTGACACTTAGGCGTGGTGGGTGCTCACTGACAGGTTTGACGGCTACGCCTTAGGCGACTGACATCTCCTGTTCTGCAAGTTTCTCTCAATTTGGTACGAGACGTTGAGCATCATATTGTCACGCGCGCTGCACTGGTCAGCTGATCTTCGTCCTCCATATTGGTCTCACAGCCACTCAAACCCCACGCTTATGATACCTACGTTCTCGCCAAGTCCGACGTCGCCTCTCATTGTTCCTCGGCTGAAGTAATACAACTCTACATCCAGCCCGTCCAAGGCCCGTTCCGACCGGCCTCCTGCATCGAATGCAGGTCTACCCAGAAGGAACACGACACCCTGGCTCCCATTATTCCCAGAAGTCCGTTGTCTGCATGCGCATGCTCTTCCGGAAAGCTGCTGTGAGCATATGCACACGTTTTCATATGCAGACAGGGCGCCCTGGCTCCCGAGATTCTCATCTTTTACTCGCACCCGAACGGTCCATTAGAGCACAATAGCAAGCGCTGTACGACTGCGCTTGTTTTTGCTACATGGAGTCGGAATTGCAGGGAGGTTGATCCGGGTTTGCGGGAGGCGTTCCCTATGTGGCAGTATTGAAGACAAATCGGCTCGGGAGTGGCAATAGCCATAGACGAAAATACAAGACGTACGAGAACGGCACCGGCATGCCGAACAGTCGGGATAGTCCACCGAGCATGAGGTGGACAAATGGCCATCTACAATGCAGGGGAAGATGCATACAGACGGACATGTCCGAGACCACACTTTCTCTGTGAAAGTATGGAGAGCCGAGGGCCGGGGGTGAAGCGCCCATGACACTGTGTAACCTAGAAAAATGGATGTGGTTGCAGGATGCATTGGAACCCATGGTCGAGCTATCCTCGTATTGTGACTGAGATGCCGCAGGTTTGTGAGCTAGGTACAAGGACCCGACCAATGGTAGAGCAGGTGTTCGTATGTATGGCGGTCTCGAAGAGGACGTGTTCCACTCTATCCGCCTGTCAAGTCTTCATTTCGCCTAAGCACCAGCAATCTGACAGGATACAGGTGGAGGTTACTTACCTGTCAAAGTGAGACATGCATCAAGACAATACGAGCAGTTACGTACCAACAGAGATGAAGGCGTGGTATCTGAGGTTGATGCGCCATGGGACGTGTGTCGCGTACTCACGGCGAGTACCACATCCGCCGCCCGGCTTTCCCATTTTCTTCGATGGCTCCGCGTTTAAGGTTCAAGTGCTGTGACGAGTATGCAGACAAAGTCTTCCGCCACCATACAAGCCCTGCATCTGCTCTGAGAATTCTCCGAAGAGCACCGCAGAACGATATTGCAGGCGGCACTTGCGATTCGATGCAGGATGAAAGGCTGCCCAATTTAGCGAGCTGGTTTATGCCGTGTAACTTTGCGTATGTTTCAGACCACACGTTCGCAGCGCGTGAGTGGGGATACACAGTCATGTGTCTGGGGACGGGTACACACATTGCACATGCAATGTCCCAAGAAAGATCTCAGGGTAGAATGTGTGGATCAGATCTTGCAGTGCTAGGATCGGGATGTATGATGATGAAAGTGGTCGGCTCCGCGGATGCCGTCATGATGGAGCGGACCTGTAATGGTGTTTTCCTGTCGTCCAAGGCATTTTGTGTGCTTGCTGTACGGAGCATGCATCATGGCCTCTCATTAGCCATTCGTCTCGCCGTGGCGACCAATGTGCAGCGTTCTGGCCGGGAATGCGACGTATGTTTGAGTTTCCGTCAGGCCCACCGACGAGTTTTGCAAAGCCGCGTCAATTTTGGAAGCTGCCTGACCCGCTTGAATTCGCGTTCGTGTTCTCAAGACCTCTCTTTCGCATAGATTTAACCGTAGTACGCACGACTCAGATGCCTGGCCACTGAGACAGGCCAGCTCATCAACAAGACATAGAGTTTGCCAAAGTCGGCGAGAGCTACATCGACTGACTCGAATTACCATGTTCAGGTACTCCATGGGTAACAAAAGAGGGTCCCGGTGAGACGGTAAGCTGCTTCCGGAAGATTTCAACCGAGCGAGGCAGGGGGTGCGAGCTGAGGACCGGCATCTTGACGAGAGCAGCGGGAGTGCCCCTCGGCCCTCGCAGGGGCTTCCGCGGTCCTGGTCCAGACAGCAATGCGCGCTGGAAGCGGCCTTTGCGGTCATCTGCGAACGCGGGCCAACGTCAAAAAACAACCACAGTGACATAGGTAGAGAACCGAGACCGTGCGAATTGCACACGTTGTACCACGTGTCGAGATGAGGACGTTGAGAGAGTGGAGGCGAGAGGGTCAAGTTGGAGGTTGGGCGCGAGGCAGCGAGTTGTGCGCTAGCAGTGACATAGCCGCTGGCAAGCACGACCTTGCTGCTGTCGAGACGTCGACCAACAGTTTGCCCTCCCCACGCTTCGTAGACGTACCCTCAAGTTTCTGACCTTGCAAGCAGCCGCATTGATTTGAAACGCATCCTTGAGCCCAATCAGTTCCATCACGCCATGTTCCGTCCATCGAGAATCGATGCCTCGGTCTCTTGAGGTGATAGGCATCCCACCCCACGGCCGGTTCCAACTCCCACTCCAATCCACATCAGCATCGCGCCCCTATCCATGTGCTCGCCCAATGCGACGAACTTTCCTATCATGAGGCCTCACCAAGGCAAGCCCAATTTTCGCGCAGTGTTGGCGGGCCTACGTCATGGCATCTTGAATTCTGGACCTGCGTAGACACACGGATCGACAATTAGGAGAGTGAAGATCGTACCCGATTTGCGGATATAACCCCACACTCGGATTCAGGTGTCAAGTATCCGTAGCCAGGCAGCGCGTATAAGTGAGGCTTCGGGCATTTCAAGCCTAGTCGCACCGTATTTAACGTCATTTGCGACTCATCAAGACGGCGAAGTTACGTACCCTGATCGTTCCAGACAATGGCCAATATCATTTGCCTTCGTGAAAGAGTTTGAGGGCGCCTTGGAATCCGGCGCATAGCAGCCCAAAGATGGTGCTATTGGTCGGTTAGCGATCCGTCCTACATCCTCTTCAGAACGCCTGCATACATCTGGCTTTGGAAACCTGGTCTGCGATCTGGGGGCGGCGGAAGCGCGGGATGTACATCTCTTGACCTGCCCAATTGCGCTTTATCCTCCCACTGTTGAGCCGCGGAGAAGCTCTGCGCAAGATGCGATTGGTCGGTAGGGTTGCTATCAGCCTCGCTGAGGACATGGAGAGGTGGTCGGGTTTGCGACGAGGAGACTGACTGGAAAATTGGGCCAGAAAAACTGTTCATGAATCTTAAGTGTATCACTGCGGTCCACTATAGGGCTTCTGGCCTTGTGCAAGCTTGCAGACGCTGCGCGGCGCATTACCTTAGGCAGCTTGCAACCCACTTACTCGCGCCAGTGCGTAGTTTGTCGGCAATCGGCGGCAGTGAGCCGTAGCTCAGAAACGTCAGTTCCTATCTTGAACTCTACAGGCATGGACAGCCCAGCTAAAATTTAAGGTGCGTTTGGGCGTGTAGCTAATGCAATTACACCACCCGCATGTCAAGCTACTGAGCTTTCAGGCGCGAATCTAAGCGAAGGTTGTTGCAAGCAGAACTGCGGTGAATGGGTTGGGCAGTCGCCTTGCATGTTGCATGACCAGCGAGCCAGTCGCACACCATCCAGCCGTTCAACAGCGGTTGAGCGGTGAGTTATGTTGCACCACGCTGCATTCTGTTCATGTTTGTGGGAGACCGAGAAAGATAATGGTGACTGGGTAGATGATTGTTCTTTGTGTCATAATGCTATTCTATTCGTACAATAATGCGCGCCGGGGTATGGCAACGACAATGAAAACCTTTTGCGACCGACTGCCAAACAAGCGTACATGGAATGAGGATACATGAGGTGCTGAACGCCAAACATGATGGGCATACATGAAAATGCATAACAGACATTACTGATGCAGCGTGACTATACCGTGACGCCTGTGTAAACGAAGGAGATGAAAGAGAAGATGCGAATGTACCCTTCGCTGCGCTAGCTTGGGTACCTATCACCCGTGACCCCAATGCCCGCAAGGTTTCAGCGCCGATATCCAAGAACTCCCACTAATTCGACCGAAGTTTTCTGAAGTGTTCAAGCGTGCTCAGTACATCATCCGCTCTGGGAAGACCTTGTCGTCGTAGCCATTGCCCTGGGGCTGATGGTAGCCGTTGTGCATCGGTGCACTGAAGTCGTATGCGCTGTCTGCCCTCTGGATTGGAATAGTGTCAGACGACATCGAAGAGCAGCGGCTGCTGCGATCGCTGCTGTGTTGATGGAAAGAGCTGGCGTAGCCTCGAGACATGGAAGCCATTGGCATGGAGGCGTAGGAGGAAGGGTATGAGGAGGCAGATGCTGACATGGCGGAGATGCGCCTGTCCTTGCCACGACCTTTGATGCCCTTGTTGGAGTTCTTGTATAGCGACGCAAAGTACTCCCAAAGCTCCTTGTCCTCCTGAGAGACGTAATCTCCTGGGTTGATGGTCGCAAACTTGGTGGTGAGATATCTAAGAGTGGCGGCGTGGAACTTGTTTTGATGCGACTAGAGTCGGTCAGTGATGTTGTAGAGGCACATGATGCGTTGAACTAACCTTGAGGTTGCCTAGTTGGGTGAACTGCTTGCCGCAGTCGTCGAGTTTGCAGCTGAAAGGCTTGATCTGTTGGTGGACGATCTTGTGCGCGCGCACATTTCCTCGTTGAGCAAATGTCTTGCCACAGATGTCGCAGCTGTACGGTCGCTCTCCAGTGTGTCGCCTCTCGTGTGTCTTGAGGTTACCTAGTTGCGAGAAAGATTGACCACAGCCAGGTGCTTTGCAAGGGAATGGCTTGTCGCCAGTGTGGGCGCGGATGTGGATCTCAAGATGTGTCTTTTGGTAAAAGCTCTTGTTGCAGTTGGGGACGGTGCACTGGTAACGCTTCCTTGGCTTCTGAGCAGTCTTCACTACGTCGTCCTGTTTCATGGTTAGCGAGGTCGGCTTGGGTGTCTCAAAGAAAGTCCACATACCTTCTGCTCCGGTTCTTGGGGTGGGTTTGTCTGTTTCGCCTGGATAGCCCTCATGAGGGTGTCCACATCCGTGGCGAAGTTCACGCCACTGCCTTCAGTAGGCTCTGAGTTTGATCGCTTGCAGTCGGATGTGAATGACTGATCGGCGTACATGTGGCTATGGCCTGAATGCGCTGGCGATGTACCCTCAGACTTGACGTTGTGGTTGAAAACATGTCGGACATCTGGCAGGGTGGGAAGCGGCTGGACGTCATGGGAGGAAGCGTATGAAACGGGATGGGGCATCGCGGGCGGGTAGTATGAAGGCTGCTGCATGTTGTATGCGTTTACCGAACTGGGGTCGTATGCGAATGCTCCTGCTTGGTATGGGACCGAGGTAGGGAGGGCGTTGCTTTGGTAGATGGGCATGCTGATGTCCATGTGGTTTGATGTGGGTTGGTAGTCGCGAGAGACGGGGGCGTTGGTGACATTCCTGGACTGGTCGTAGGGAGGCATGATGTTGGTCAGATGCATGTTGGGGATATGCATAGATTGCTCCCGTCGATCTTGCCAGATTCCAATGTTATGAGATGCAACGACAGTAGCCATTGTAGATAAGAAGGCTGATGCCACGGGATGGGCAGATGGGATGCAAGTGCGGGCTGGGCCGAGAGTTGTCGGGAATAGGTCTATCAAGTGTAGAAGAAGACAAAGTGGTGGAGATAGAGGATCAGATGACGTGGGAGTGTTGTGGACTTGCTCGATCGATCTGACTGTGGTATGGGGGAGCGTTTGGGGCTTTACATATGAATGGGCCAACTCGATATACTACGACTCTGAGCATCCCGCGAAGCAAGGATGGCGTTTGTTGTGGATCAAGCCGAAGGGACTAGGGTTAGGAGCGAGCATGGTTGCAAGAAGGACAAGGAATATCGCTCTCGCATGCAGCCAAGAATTACTGGGGTGGTGGTTTAGTGGAAGGCTAGCCAGCAGAGAATGATGGATGTACGGGGCACAGCAGCCGACCAGGATGCAGTCTCAAGGCGGAACCGGGGTATGGGCCCCAGGTGTGAACGGACGCATGGCTTCGCCGTCTCATGTGCAGTGTGGGGGTTCCATAGGACAGGACACTCAAGCCACACCCCATCGGGCGATACATTGATGACCACCGACAGTCAACCGTGCGGGCCACCCAAGAAGTCAATGTTGAGGCTCTGTCAACGTGAAGGGTCAATTGTGAACCTCTGCTTCGCCGGCCCGTGGTGGATGACGCGGAATCCAGGACTCATCATGCAACATGCATGACTTCAAAATGACCAAATGAGGCGGATAGCCCTTTGCGCAATTGCTTGACGAGGTACGAGTTCTCGTCTGGGCCAGGCCGGAATCCCAGTGAGGATCCTCGCATGCGGGCTTATCGTGGCTGGCAATTTCTTGGGTCGTCGGCGTAGTGTGAAGCGCGACTCCTTGTCTTCCGTACCTACACACGTGGGTGCAGATACGCGCTATTGCGTCCGATAATCGACGGCGGCGTGGCGGACGACGCTTCTTCCCGGGGCGTTGACGGGCCATGATGAAGCCCTCTCGCCAATCATCGGTGTTTCCACACACTCTCATTACCTCCACCTACGAATGGAACGTCTCAAACCCGAAGTGCCTTAGGTAATAAATGGCGGCGCCCGGACGCAGCACTGGTTAGATTTTGACGTGCCCTAGTCTGTATGGGAGACCCAGCCTGTCATCGGGGAAGCAGACGGGTATGCCGCCCCACTTCGGCTTTGTTTCAAGGCTTATGAGGTCGAGCATGGTGGTGGTCGGAGCTGAAAACAGTCGCAATTGCGATGCAGATGTGGTTGTCGACTTCGATGGTGTTTTTTATGATCGACGCGCTGGAATAGCATCACGGTTCTCACAGGGTCTCCGCCGGCGAAGGAGCGGAGAGCTCAGGGTCACGTGTGTCGCATGCTAAGCCAAACTCGGTACTAGCCCCCAAATAACTGCTCACGCGATTACGGCAATCTTGCAGTAAGACATTCATCCCACTCGACCGGTTACTTGGAACCTTCCCAAACTATTGGGTCCCTTCATCTTGTATCCTCTCAGCTACATTGCTCCGTCCTCAATCTTGCCAAAGGTACCCATAATCCCGCCTACCTAGGCAGGTGTATATTTGCTATTGACGCCCCTGCGTTACGGGCGATCACATTTATTGTTACCCGCCACAGCCTGTGGCCCAACAATGAGTTCAGGACTCTCGTGGCGTCCCGGTCGCCGACGTCTCTAGAGTGACGCTACGCACTACTAATGTACGGCACGCGCTTCCCGATGTATGCACAGTCTCTATTGCGCCATTAGACCTGCCACCAACGGCTTTCAGTACTACGATCTCTCCTACCCCAAGCCAAAACGCCATCTGTGGATTTTAACTTCAAACGACGCGCCCGGATCTTTAAGCGGGTCAGGTTTCCCGTATCGACCAGACTAATATGTCTGATCTGAGATAGCCCGATTGACGACCGTTTTCTCTCGATGTATTTGAAATCACCAGCCAATGCTGATACGAGATCAAACAGCTGCAGGGGCATCAGATCGTGTTCTTGATCTACATGCTAAGCAGCGGCGTAGGCGACTACGGGACTTCAACATACCGAGATGGCATGACCGCCCTTCCGTCCCTCCGCTCCTCCTTGACAGCACTGGCCAGCTGTCAGTTGATTCCTTTCAGGGTATCCCTACTGTGCGAGCAGAGCTGAATGCTGGATGGCAGCGGTCGGCCTGTACCTCTCTTAGACAAGCGCACTAATCTTCCATCCCTCGGACTTGGTGATCGACCCCAGATAGGTTGACATTAAGATGCAACCAATCTGTGTGGCATATGTCTGTGCATGGGTGTAGCAATCGCGTTGCAAGTCTTCACCGGATCACCCGCGCGGGCCCTTACGGCATTTCGACTAGAGCGCGATTGCTTCAAGCTCGCATACTGGGACAGAAAGATCCGAAGGCCAGGGTTTCGTTGAGCCGCGTGGCTCGAGAGTGACTGACCGTACTTGGGTTAAAGCGCTTGGTGCTGGTCAGTGAGCTCTGGAGGGGTTGCAATACTAAGAAGTTCTTCTTCCGAAATCGTGGACCTGCAGTAGCCTCAAACAAGTGCTGGACACCATCATGGGACAGCAAATTTCGCTCTTTCATCTTCAAACGATGACGGACCACCATTGAGTGCTCCAGTGCAAGAACGCATACGTTTACCGAGACGTGTAAGGAGCTTGCAATCTCTGTCTTTCTTCGAGCGGCTTCTGTAAGAATACGAGGTACGGCAAAGAACCCAATCTTTTGCCCACGAGCAACAAGCCGAACCACTTATTATTCAATTGTGGCCATGTATATCTCAAGGCAACCTATCAGTCGCGCTACCCATCCGCGGTCGGCTCGTCGATACTTTGATGACAGACGTTGGCTATGCGGACGGCAGCGGCGGCGGCGCACGGAACCAGCGGCAGCAATCCGCGGTCCTTGTTCGGTGATACTGGTCTGTGATCGCCGTATAATCGTCTGTCTGTGTTAGTGTCCGCTTCACGAGAGGTCGAATCCTTAGTGAAGCGAGTGGTTCGTCTGAACCTTATGCTAGCCAAATGACGGCATGCATGCGCGTGTTGCTAACCGAGCACAGATCCTGGGCCCGCGGGCCAAAGACGCACAGTTCGTCCTGTCAGACCCACCTTGGTTAGGCGTACAGGTCAGCCGCGAATGTCAATAACCAAACGGATAGGCCCGATCGCTTCCCCGGGGCCGCTGATGTGTTTCATCAACCATGTTCCCTGCCATCGCCATCTGATCGTGTTCAACATCGCCGTACAGCTACAGCTTCCTGTACAATCCCCTGAATGCTTCCACATGGCTTGGTACTCGCGTAGCTACACCGCATTGTATGCGGGTGTGGGAGACACCACCCTCCACGAAATCCAGGGCTCACTGTTGATCACATTTTGAGAGGCCTGCAAGCTGCCGCTTAACGGTGTGCCTAGCTCACAGACTACTCCTTCGAAACCTTGATCGTTAACAGACCGACAAGCATCGCTACCGGCGCTTCACCCTTAAGCTGCCCTTCAGTATCATTGTCCCGGTACCAACCGTAGCTGGAAGGTACTTTAGAGGTCCACTGAGTACCACTCATTGGATCATCTTGGATGAAAACTTCGCGGTTCATTTTAGACAGCCGTTCTACGTTAGCATTTTGCTCCGGCATGTACCATGCGGTGTTCAAATAGGCTGATCTCATAGAACTACTCATCGGTACTCCAATCACCGCTCACTCTAAACAATCTGCGACATTGCGGCACTCTCCCTTGAAGCAATGCCAACGATGCACTTGAGCTTGACCGCCAGACATCTTAAAGTTGTTGACTGGGTGCTACTGCACTTTACAATCTTGGAGACCGGTCAAAACCTCAAACCCCATGTGCAGTAGTCGCAATCATGTTGCAGCATTGTGTGCTTGACCAACACTCACCGCAACTACGAAGGCATGTCTGGCAGGGGAACGAGGCGTAGGATGCTCGTAAAACAGCAGCGGCTAATAGCGATGGCAAGGCGCATGCCAAACTCGGTAGTAGCATCCAGCAATGCCGATGCAATGCAGGCGCCAAAGCTAACCATGGAGAGGCACATAAGCCGGTCTGATATACACCGACAGCGATTGAATCCTATGCACCGTTAGCAGTGAATATCCTGCTCTTGGGCCCTCAACATGTTACATCACGCTGCGATACCTGGAATAACCCGGCAGAGACCCTCACCGTAGGGAACTGCCACCGGCATACCTTTGCTTCGAGCACTCACACCTCTCACGCAGATCTGCTGTATCTCGCCACTTGGATCGCCTTCCAGAAAACATCGATCTTGATGATCAAACACACTATATCTCAGTGGCGTCGCCTTCAGATCGTGCATCGCTCGCCTTCTGAGACAAGTGAGATGGCAAGCGATTGCACAGTGTCGCCAACTCAACACCAACCTCTTCGCGGAATCTCGAAATAGCGGTAAATCGGTCTAGAAGAGTCTGGTACGCTACAAGCTTACGTGCATCCGAAGATGGTAGCGCAATGATGCTTAACGTCGGATGTTTTCAGTAACCTAGTGGACGATCACTACGTACAAGATGCATATCACTATATGGTGTCATCTTGTTTCTGGGCAAACCTTGGGTAATGCTGCATAGTAAGCGCAGCATCTCAAGAAGCTCAACCTCCGGCCACGATGTGATGGTATGTAGTGGTGTGAAGCTCGAGTCAGTTTCCCTGCCCGTTCGTATCGGAGTCTTCATCAGATCTGATGCGCCTTCTTCGCCCCTGCGCCCGGGGAGGGGAATCTGCATTTAGAACCATGCACTCATGCATCACCGACTACACGCTAGTTAGCTTGGCATGAAAGGCCGGATTCTGAGGGTATAACCGGAAAGCGATGATGACACTATGGAATTGGACCGACAAGGGGGCGCATGAACTTCCAGGATCGCTTGATTGAAACTAACTCGTTTTATCGCGACCTGCAGGATCTGAGAACCCGATAGCGATGTACCTGAGCGTTCCGCAACAGCGGGTCGATGAAATGGC